CAGGGAGACTGGGGAACTCGCTCCTGCGGGGAGAGTGGAAAATGGGGGACTCGCTCCTGCGGGGAGAGGGGAGAACGGGGAACTCGCTCCTGCGGGGAGAGTGGAGAATGGGGGACTCGCTCCTGCGGGGAGAGGGGAGAACGGGAGACTCGCTCCTGCGGGGAGAGGGGAGAACGGGGGACTCGCTCCTGCGGGGAGAGGGGAGAACGGGAGACTCGCTCCTGCGGGGAGAGTGGAGAACGGGAGACTCGCTCCTGCGGGGAGAGGGGAGAACGGGAGACTCGCTCCTGCGGGGAGAGGGGAGAACGGGGGACTCGCTCCTGCGGGGAGAGGGGAGAACGGGGGACTCGCTCCTGCGGGGAGAGGGGAGAACGGGAGACTCGCTCCTGCGGGGAGAGGGGAGAACGGGAGACTCGCTCCTGCGGGGAGAGGGGAGAACGGGGGACTCGCTCCTGCGGGGAGAGGGGAGAACGGGGGACTCGCTCCTGCGGGGAGAGGGGGAGAATGGGGGACTAGTTCCTGTGGGAATCAGGAAGAACAGGGGAAATCACTCACGGGGGACTGGGGAAACGGGGGACTTGTTCCCATGGGGTCTGGTCGAGGTGAATCATGAGAATGTGGTTAAATAGTGGGATGGGGGTGTGTGTGGAGGCTGGATATACATGAATCAGAGGAAAGGGAACAGCATGGAGAAGAACTGGGGAGGTGGTGGGAGTAAGCTTGTGTTGACCATTTCACATCTGAACACCACAATTGTGGTCAAAACGTACCCCCTGATTCTTGCTGTGTGTGGGATAAGACCATAACAAATAGCAACAAGAGTCTGCCATTCGGCCCCTCAAACCTGCTCCGCCATTCAATAGGATCCAAAAGTCCTCACGTCCACTTTCCCGACTTTTCCCTGTATCCCTTGGTTCCCCAACTGATCGAGATCTCAGCCTTAAATATACACAAGGGCTCTGTCCCCACAGCTCTCTGTGGCAGAGAGTCCCAAATCTTCCCAACCCTCTGAGAGAAGAAATTCCTCCTCATCTCAGTTTTAAATTGGTGCCCCTTTATTCTGAGACTATGTCCCTTCTGGTTCTAGATTCTCCCATGAGGGGGAACATCCTCTCAGCGTTGACCTGGTTAAGCTCCTTAAGAATCCTCTATGTTTCAGTGAGATCACCTGTCATTCTTCAAAACTCCAGTGAGTAGAGTCCCAACCTGTTTAACCTTCACTCATAAGGCAACCTCTCCACGCGAGAGATCGTCCAAGCCACACCTTCTCTGAACTGCTTCCAATGAAATATTTCCTTAAGTAAGGGTCAAAATTGCCCCCAGTTCTCCAGATGTGGTCTCACCAGCACTTTGTACAGCTGCAGTAAAACTTGCCTACCCCTTGACTCCAACTCCCTTGAAATAAGGGCCAACGTTTCATTTACCTTCCTGATTCCCTGCTGCCCCTGCGTGCTAGCTTTCTGTGTTTTGTGCACAAGCTCCCCCCAGTCCCTTTGTGTTGTATCTTTCTGCAGTCTTTCCCCATTTAAATAATACTCTGTTCTTTCGATCTCCCTTCAAAAATGAACAACCTCACCCTTTCTCCACCTTATGCTCCATTTGCCTACTTCTTGCCCGTTTACTTAACCTACCAATCTCTCTCTCTCTCTAAAATATTCGTATCTCTCATGCAACTTGCTATTCCACCTATTTTTGTGTTTTCTGCAAACCTGGCGACAGTGTGTTCACTTGCTTCCTCCGAGTCATTAATATATATTGTAAACAGTTACAGTCCCTGCACTGATCCCTGTGGAATCCCACTGACTATGGGTCACCAACCTGAAAAAGAACCCCCCCTTCTCCCCACTCACTGTTTTCCTGCCCATGAGCCAATTCTCCATCCACACAAGTATTCTACTTCCAACATCATGGGCTTTTATCTTCTGACAACTCCTTTTGTGAGGTACCTTCTCGAATGCCTTTTGGAAGTCCAAATACATCTACTGGTTCTCCTCTGTCCACTCTGGTTGAGACTTCCTCAAAAAACCTGAACAAATTAGTCAGATATGATTTCCCTTTCGTGAGGCCACGCTGCCTTTGCTTGATTCAATCATAATTTTCCCAAATGTCTTTAAGACTTGATCTCTCATCTCTGTTACCCTTTGGAATCCCTGCAGTGTGGAAGCAGGTCAGTCGGCCCATCGAGTCTGCACCGAAGACTCTCTGAAGAGCATTCCGCCCAAGACTCACCATAACCCTGCATTTCCTGTGGCTAATTCACCTAACTGCACATCTTTGGACTGTGGGAGGAATCCAGAGCACCCGGAGGAAGCCCACGCAGACATGAGGGAGAATGTGCAGACTCCACATATCTGAGGGTGGAATCAAACCCAGGTCCCTGGCACTGTGAGGCAGCAGAGCTAACCACCAAGCTGCCCTATGGACCACACGCGAGGTTTAAACAGTGATTCTCCACCCTCCCCCCACATCATTCTGAATTCTCCCACAAGAGGAGATGCTTTCTCTGCACCTGCCTTGTCTGGAAAACCTCAGGATCAATCAACTTTCAATCAACTCTTCAAAGCTCCAGCATGATACAACGCCAGCCACAAAATCAAAGGGCAGGTTGTGAAAGGGATACAAACAGTTTACAGAGAGACATTGCAAGGTTTAGTAAGTGGGCAAAACAGTTGTTACTGTTTCTTATTGTCTTATAGCCTGTCCAGCCTTTCCTTAACAGGTGCCTGGAAACAACTCAATCTTGGTGTTGTCTGTACATTGTCATAGAGTCATAGAGCACGGAAACAGACTCTTCGGTCCAACTAGTCCATGCCGACCCTAATCCCAAGCTAATCTAGTCACACCTGCCTGCACTTGGGCCTGTATCCTTCCAAACCTTTCCTGCCCATGCCTAAACGTCTTTTAAAAGCTGTAATTGTGCCCACAGCCACCACTTCCTCGGGAAGTTCATTCCAGATGCGGGCCACTCTGGCTCTGTGCGTAAAATATTTGCCCCTCGCGTATATGTTGAATTAACTGAGGACCCTCGCACTGAGCGTCAGGTGTTTTATTTGTGACCTAGCGAAAAATATCTAGGGTAAATTGAATTAAACTAGCTGCGGGGGTGGGGGGGGGGGAGAAGACGGGGAGGTGGGGATGTGTGACAGGGACGAGGTATGGGTTTCAAAGCTGAGCTGCTTCCTGAGAATCATCCGTGTTTGTGTCTCTGGTCCTGTGCCTGATTGTCGGGTATCGCAGGGCTTTGTGTGGCTGGCAGCCAATGCGAATATACTCCTGGAAGACCTGCTGGAGGTACGGGTCCCTGGCAGTGGGCTTGAACAGCCAGTAGCGCGGCCGTTTGGCCCTGCCGCTCCTGCTGACTACCACGGCCTTGCCCTGCCTCTGGCCGCTAGCCCGGCCTGTCCCCTGGCCCGAGGGAACCC